AGGCTTCTGGTTGGGAACCTATTTCTAGGATGACTGCAAAGAGCTATAGGCAGGTCTTGACCAGTATGAGCCTTGGTGCATCACTAGATGTCGTTCAGCACTTCTATATCCAACTCAAAATACCATCCCTTTCAGCGTAGTCATCTTGAGACTGCACTCTTCTTCCAATGGTGATGCAAGCATTTCAGGAAGATTTCTTTGGGAATGGAGCACAGCTCAGCCTTTGTCTTCAGCAAAATGATTTCTGACAACTCAAATTGGGTCCCATTTTTTCTTTGGAGAAGATGGGAGACCAATGTAGGGGGGGGGGGGGGGGGGGGGGGGGGGGGGTATAGAACCTGATGGATCAGAAGAATGCTGTGTTATGCCAAGAAAATAGTATTCTTTTCCTGGGCACATGCTGGAGACTTTTCAAACAGATTTTGTATTTGTATACATCTGTGTATAAGTTCATGTATACTAAGAACAATAGTGGGAACATTACCATTGAATGATTTCAGAGAACATCAAAGAATCAAAGGGTTTGGTCACCTGGTCAAAATGGAACCAAACCAGCCAGCAGCCAGAGCATACTAGATAAGAACAGCAGTCTACAAGGCAAAAGGCTGACCAAGAAAGACATGGGTTAAGTGAGTAAAAGAGACTATAAAAAAGCAGTATGACATTAACACAAGCTATGCAACTATCAAAAGACAGGAAACGATTCATGAAACTCCTCTCTGCAACACTTTGTGGCATAAACTGTATGACAAAAGAATAATTGCATTTATATCAGGAAACAAAATAGGACAGGCAAAAACTGCATTTATAAAATAAAGAACATCTTATGCAATATATCCTTGTCATTGAAGGTCAGAAAAAGAATTCTTGCTTGCTACATACATCCAGTTTCAACATATGGCTGTGAGTCCTGGACAATCAGTAGGCAGGCCAAACTATTTCTTGAGGCCTCAGAGATGTGGTTTTACAGAAGAATGCTTAAAATACCCTGGACAGCCAAAAAGAGCAACCAAGAGGTTTTGAAAGAGGCGGGAGCCCGAAGACAACTAATCACAGACATCAGAAGGAGACAGTCAACATGTTCGGCCTTGTTATGAGAAGAAGGAAAATGGAACATGTTGCAACCACTGGAAAGATCTGTAGGAGGAGGGACAGAGGAAGACGACGAGAGAAGACTCTTGACAGTCTTGTTGCACGGCATGGAGGTGTGTCAGCACACGAACTGATACATGCTGCAGGAAATCGCAGATTGTGGAGAGGCATGATCGCCCACGCCAGTCGGCAAGGCACCTGATGATGATGATATATATATAACTTTTTTGTTCAATCTGTACTTTGCAGTTTGGTTATTTAAATCTAATTTGATATTAATTGTAAATAATTAAATGGAGGTTTATTAATTATTCCATATACTGGATTTCATACTATCAGATCTAATATGAAATGTATGGAACTGGACTGTCATTTAGTACCCAATGAAATACAGTTGAGTTTTCATATCTAATTGTGACTTAGATGAAGTGAGATGAGATTATTGTGGTGGGTGTGTACGTACGTCTAGAGGGTGGGAGAAGAGTGAGAATGGAGGTATGAAGGGTACAATTTATAATAAGTAAACAGGTCTTCGTCATCCAAAGATCTCGTTACCAGCCAAACAACGGATGATCAACAGCATTTTCATCCCTACTTTATGTTATCAGTGCCAAACGTGGACAATGAACAAATCACATATGCAAAAAATAACTACGTGTGAAATGCGATGTCTCCGAAGAGTCACCAACAATACACGAAGAGACAGAGTCACAAACGTCAGCATTAGAGACAAAGTTGGAACAAGAGCATGCATGAAACATATTGAAAGACAGAGAATGAAGTGGTTTGGCCATTTAGTAAGAATGCAACCGGATCAGATTGCCTATAAGGCCTTTTACAGTAGAACATCGGGAAGAAAGGCCAGAGGAAGACCCAGGAAAAAATGAATAGACGGAGTAGCTGAATACGGCCAGAAGATCCAGAAAACTGTCACTCAAATCACGCGAATGGCACAAAACAAATATTTTAAACCACGACACTGGGCTGCAACCCGGTAAAAGTGAAGAAGACAATAGATAGATAGATAGAAACAGGTCTTTTGTTTTCCATTATTTCTTTCTCTCCCATTGGGGGTTGGGGAAATTACAATTCTTGTTGTTTTGGTCACTGATGAAGTCTCTGTTGGTTGTATTGGTGCACATTTTGTCTCATGAACTTCTTAGTCAATTTGTGTTTAGTGAATCCAAACACAGAGAGAGAACAAAAATGGCTTTCTCAGGATGATGAAAGAGTTTTCCAGGAACACAAATTATTCTGTAAGCAAATAAAGGACCCTTTTCATGTCAGTGACACCCGTGCATTTCTTAGCAAAATAGAAACTGGCTGTTTACGTTCTACCTTTGCGCCAGTCTTGACCTATGGTGTGAGCCTGGGCAATGACAACAGTCCATAGAAGCCAGCTTCAGGCTTCAGAAATTGTAGATATCTGAGAAAGGTGGTCCAATTGACAAGAAGGGAAGTCTGCAATCAGACAATTTGTCCAGATCTTGATACCCAGTCCTTACAAACCCGAATGGATCAGTCACATTTACACAATGGTTTGGACGTGTATGCAGAATAGGAGAAAATCTGCCACCATGGCAGGCATGGGAGGCTAAGAACCGGGAAACCAGACCTCCTGAGTCTGCTGGGAAGACAACATCCGACAGTCCCTTACTGACAGAGGAGAAGAATCATTTGGAACAAAGCCAGAAAAGAAAACTGCTGATAGAGACATCTGGCGATCTCTCTGGCAAACCTCTACACCCAAAGGGAGAAAAAGAGCGACTAAGTAAGTAAGTAAGACAACTGTGGTCAATATCGTGTTTACTTATAATCTTGTACCCATTTTAGGCTAGGTCAATATTACAAACTGCAACAACAAATATACATTAACATGTGAAATAATGACAATGCAAGATAAAACTAATTTTAATGAATTCAGGAATAACAAGCATGTGTGAAATTTGAAATGAAAATTATGTGCTGACGTGGATTTTTTGGGGTGGAGGAGGCACCAAATATATTTCTCCCTTTAGATTTCTAAGAGTTTCCAAAAACATTCTGCATTATTTACCACACAGTTGTGCTGGTATTATCACCCAGCAACTTATAAGTCACATACATACTAGATGTCGGCAGAATCCTTTTCCCTCACAATCGTAAACACACACACACACACAAATATGCACACTTGCACTGTTTCTTGAGAGTTGTCAGACATTTCACTAAGGCAGTGGTTCTCAACATGTGGGTCACAACCCTTTTTTAAGTTGAACGACCCTTTCACAGGGGTCACCAAAGACCATCACAAAACACATGTTCACTGAAGTTATGAAGTAGCAACAAAAATAACTGTATGCTTGGAGGTCGCCACAATGAGAGGAACTGTATGAAAGGGTTCCAGCACAAGAAGGTTGAGAGCCACTGCACTAAGGGCATCAGAAGTTTGATTATACAACAGGGGGAGATTCAACCGTTTTACTTTTGTGGAGCTAAGGAGGAAGAGATTGGAGCACCTATGGATCTGTCTGGAGTGCTATGATAAAGCACTAACTAATCACCGAAACTACTTTCATGCCAACTTTTTTGTTTTTTACTCTACCTGTTAACATAAATAAAACTCTTTTCCATGCCTTTAAGTGTACTGGAAATATAGGACTAGATCTATATTTGTATAGACCAATCGGCACTTGGTGGGTGATGTGGTCAGCACCACGTCGGCCGCCTTTACTTCCCAGGACTGCACCTGGTACCCAGTGAAGGCTGGGTGGACCAGGGAGTCAAGGTCATAAAAAAAAAAAAAAAAAAGTTGGCTTCGTCTAGTCGACAAGGCCACAGCGACTCCCTACCTGCTATCATGCATATACATAATAGCTATCATTTTCTTTGCTATCAAGTATATACGGTGTTTGTGGCTTAGGCATTGCGAGCATGCTTCATAGTTCCATAGTGCCCCGTTCGACCCCAGGAGTGGGTGATATGGTATCAGAGAGCATTTATTCTTCTTCTTTGTTCACCGGCTGTAATCTCCAGCGGAAAGTTCTGGCTGTTCGTCCATTTGGACTTTGGCTTCATGCCAGGGTCTCAGTTTTGGTGTACACCACCTTTAATGGCTTATTTGTGCGCAGCTGGTTGTTTTTTGCCGCTCTGGCAGATGTACTCTGGCTGCGTAGGACGCCCCCAGTTAGGTGACTCCTACGACATACTTGTTGGGGAGGCAGTGGGTCTATTCTTTTTTCCCCCATAATGGGGTCCCTGAACCCACACAGGGAGCGTTGGTTCCAATAGTGGCACCAAGATCTGAGCGTTAAGAAAGCAATGACACTACTGAAAATCAATTTGCTTAGTTAAATCACAGAAAGCTAAAAAAAAAATTTTAAATGTTGGAGTTGGTTTTACAAAGTCCTGTTAAGGACAGGCAACTAACTTTAACATGCATATACATAATAGGTAGAGAACAGTTAGATGTTCGTCTGCAGATCCGAAGGTCATAGGTTCAAATCAGCATGCAGTTGGATTTCATTTTTCTGTACATGATCTTGGCTCCCAGGCTAACCCAGTGTAAAAAAAAAGACCACATAACACATCGAAGGCTGATTGGTCTATAACAATGGGAGCCTGGCCTTATATACCCAATGCACCATTGACATGTAAAAGGTCCTTTACCTTACATAAGAGGTACATTTTTCTCTAACTGCTATCATGCATATATATATATATTGATAATTTTTTCTTAATCACATATATAAGTGCACTTGTTTCTTACCCACACATACCTTCTGTTTACAGTATTTCAAAACCTTAATTCCGCACCATAAATGTTTGTGAAATTACATAAGTAACACCACGTTTTACAATCAGCACATAAACAAGGCAAAAAACCAGTCAATCCATCGTGTCTCTACGTTTCATGCAGGCCAAATATATTATCTTCTTTTATAGATGCAAGGCTTCAGCTTGATCTGGCCAATAGATGCTGATTTCTTTACTGGTTTGATCTTCTTGAAGTCCAGCAAGTAAAACATCTGGTTTGTGTCTCGCTGCAAAATTAACAATGCCATTTAGATGTGATTTAATTAAGTTGTGATAAACAATACAATTCTTTTAGTACCATGGAATGCATCACAGGTTGATTTATAGCTAACTTATCTCTCAAGAGTTAAAACAACTGACAGTTTTTTTTGTTGCTATCCGCAAACTGTCTTAGTGCAGATGCAACTATCATCATCAGATGCCTTGCCGACTGGCCTCGCCACAATCTTCGATCTCCTGTAGCAAGTATCATTTTGTGTGCTGACACATTTGCCTGCAAGTTCTGACCTCACGGCATGAGGCATCTGATACATGTTTATTTGGACCTTTGGGAATTTATTTCATGTAATGCTTTACTCTGTTTTTATTGATTACCACTGTTATACATATTCATATAACCTCCCCTCCCCCATAATACTTTTTTTTAATGTTAAGAAATTTAAAAACATTAATAATGATCTATGCAAAATGGTCAACACAAAAAGTTACTAGAAAGCTCAACAGAAGGAATGAAAAAGTTGCAGACAAACACAACCGAACATTCTGACCAAAGTCTTTATCAATGGAATACTAAATACAAAACACACTGTGACTGGAGAAACTAAACGGACAAAACAAAGGATCTAATAAAAACCAAGGTCCTTACGTTGAGCTTTCTAGTACATTTTTGTGTTATATTCAGCATTTCTTGCAATCAGCTCAACTGCAGATAACTCTTATTTATGTAAAATGGTTGTATTTGAAGGATTTCCCCCTGGGAATTCCCACCACGGGTCCATGACCCATCTGTTTAGCATTCGTAGGGTGAGCGGGTTAAGCTACAATGTACGGCCAACAAAAATTCTCCATATGCACATTATGTGGTGCCACACTAGCACAATGGCTAGAATACTAGCCTGCCAGCCCAAAGGTCATGGCACCTTTTTAGGCATCATTATCTTGCAGCACCGTTGCAACAGATACTTTGCAGCGAGTACTGGCACATTCTTTAGACGGTTTGTGGCGAGTACCGGCACCTTTATTTCTAGAAAAATTCTTTATTATATATATATATATATAAGTATATATATACACACACACACATTTCAGATGTGGTGTTGCTGAAAAAACCTACTGAAATGAAAAAGTGATAAATGAAACAATAATACACAAGTAAAGGCCCTCATGACTTGATCACATTTTAGATGGAAGATGGGTAATCCAGTCCATGGGCCATTTAAGGCTGGCAAAATTATTTGGCCTAGCCCCACTAAGGTGTCTGTAATGAAATATTTAGCTGATAATTTGTTGTGATGAAGATGCACGGGAAAGAAATCCTTATTTCTACATTCCTAAACTGCTGACATGCCGGTTCTTGGAAGCAGTACAACAAAATCTTGAGTGACTAACAAGAAAGTACTCGGAACATTTCCCATAAGTGCTTCATTCTCATCTTCAGCAACAGGCGAAGAGTTCCAATTCCGATTATGCCAGTAGCATTTTGATTTTATGCCCATCTTGCTTTTCATTCAAGTGTAGAGTGACGACCAGATCCCCTCATCACTCCCAGCTGTACCATTTTCTCCAGACCATAGTGACCATCCCTCTGCATGGTTTCTGTTGCTCCCAAAGGGACTTGACAACTTCTTGCTTCTCATGCATAAATTCACCGCCCTTTGGTGCAGAACCAGCCAGTCTATCTTCCTGTTCATTTCTCAACACTCCTGCAAATCCTGATAACCTGAGATTATAAAATTGATCACAAACAGGAAGAAGTATATTCTTACCTTGTTTAGCAACTGGAAGCCGCAGTGGCAAACCCCTTCTATAAATCGACTCAATCCACTAAAACGACTGACAACTTCTGCAATTTTCAGCAACCCACTGCAATAAATAGTTTTAGCTTTGAGGAAGAATGTAAAACACTAACACATCATCATCATCAAGTGCAAACACAGTGTCTTATTAATTGGTTGCTACACTGGGATATATCTTCTTCTCCTCTACTACCTCTGTAAGGTCTGATCAATATGGATAGGCACACTTACGGTTTTCAGTCGCTGCATATTTTTTTTATTTGACAATAGTTAGCCGTTGCATTTTCTTCCGTATGCAGACTGAAAGGATATAATTCTGTTGCCCAGCTACTGAGTTGAGTGCATGGTGCGACAATGAGCTGCAGATTTTGTCTGGAATGATTTTAGACTGCCCAATGTGGTTTGTGTTTGAACTATAGATTCCGAAAATGATGAATGGCCTGCTGACAAAAAAAATCTGGCAGTGCCTTGTGTGATTAACCACATGTGCCACTGCTGACCTGTTGTAAACTGCTGCTTCCATAAATGAGGAAACTGCATTTCTAGCGTCTGTCTGTTTGTGCTGGCACCTCTGGCGGCTACTTTATGCATTCAATGCATGTTTGTGCTTTTGGATTTGCTGAGACCGATGTCTGTGTCATTTTTTTTTTTTTTACAAATTAGAAATGTGATTACCTGATTTACTGCTTTTGGTGTCAAAGAGGATATATTGTTCTGTTTCCTGCACTGCAGGCCCCCTCGAACATAGACACACCGTATCTGTTGTAGAGATTCTACAATGTTATCTTTTGATCTTGTTCTTCTCCCTCTTCCCTCTCTTTTGGTGTACCAGATTCATCACCATCATCCCATAACACTACGTGCCATTGGGTCACTAGTTTCTGTTGACTGATCAGCTCTCTCCATCTTTGGTACTTGATTGCAAAATTTAATACCCTTTCTAATAAATGTAAAAGCCATCCAAACAAGACAAAACATATGCCAGTGTTGTCTGCATTGTTCAACCACAATACTAATTTTTTTTTAGCTAACTAAAGAAACAGAATATGCATCATTATTCAATTACATTTTGGCCAAATATTTATATATAAATGACAAAACAAAAACTGTGCATCAATATTTAGCATATTTCGGCTAGATATATAGGGAGAAAAAAAAAGAATTATTCAATTACATTTTGGCCAAATATAAAGGATAAACTCCCTGTGTGGGTTCCGGGGCCCTATTATAGGAAAAACAAGAAAAGACCCACTGCCTACCCAAAATAATAATTGACTAATTGGGAGCTTCCCTCAAAGTTGGAGTGCATCTTCCTGAGAGGCAAGGAAACAACAGTCTGCATACAAATGAGTCAGATCTGTCAAACGGATGCATACGCATCACCCAGGTTCTGAAACAGGACTGCAGTCCAGAAGTGGACAAACAACCAGAACTTTCTGCCCAAGTTTACAGCCGGTGAACACGAAGAAGAAGACAGGGTAAACCTGAACTGTAGGCATAACTTGTAACCACTCACCCTGTCTTCAGAACTCTGTTGGCCTCCAGGATATAGTCAGTGATGTTGGTTCCCATGAGAGACAAACAAAATATGGCTATATCCACTTGTTCACCTGGCAAGGGAGTCTGAGGAACATATTTGTTAGATTTATCAACAACAACAACAATAAAAAACCATGTGAGAAAAGAAGATGTATTCTGAGGTGTCTGCTGCATCAGAGAGGATTCCGCATGCATGGCAATGGATAATATGCAGGGGCGTCAATTAGTGATTAGAAAGGATTATCATCTCAGCACTCCGGACAGATCCATAGGTGCTCCGATCTTCTCCTCAAAAGCTCCACAAGTGTAAAACGGCTGATGACGCCTGTTCTGTGTTGGTTAATGAAATGTCTTGTCTCCTTAGTGAAATGTTCATTTCTTGCAGCAACAGGCTGCACCCCCATGTCTATCAGTCTAGACAGGGATACAGAGTCATGTCCTTTGGCGTGCTCCTTGGTACGGTAAGTGCAGCGCATGGCATTGATAACATCACTTCTGTCCAGTACTGGGCTAGCCATAGCAACCGCAGTACCAGCAAGATAGTCTGCACGCTCGTTCCCTTGAACACCTGCATGACCTGGTACAAAGATGAAGGTTAGGGCAGATATTTGTGAAGTGCTTAGTGTTTCAATCCATTCTTGCCTGATAAATCCAGCTTGGATTTTTTAAGCATATTTATCAAGTCACTAAGAATGCATACGTGTGTGAACTTTTGAGTACCAAGCCATGCTAATGCCCTTGTACAGCCATAGTTTTCATTGTAAGGCGTCAACTGTGATAACAAAAGAATAGTAAAGTCAGACCATCAAATCAGTTGTGCGCTGGTGCTCTTTTCTTGTCTGGCCTTCTTGCATAGTGCTCTTTTCTGGTTTAATCTTTTCCAAACTGATATTCTTGCAGTCTAGTCAAGCCTGTACATTAGGCCATCACTGTGTTTCATTGCCCTACCTGTATGAGGGCATTCAGTAAATATAAGTTTGGTTCACCGCTTTTAACAGTATCCATGCCAGCAAGCCTATAAGCTTGTTCATTTCTTCGTACACCCACATCTTCTGGCACAATAATGGAAATGCTTTCTATTAGCGTGCGCAGAACAAAAATAGTCGAAACGCATTTAGGACAAGCTTGAAGGTATCTATGATAGAAAATAAACCCCTTCCTTGCCCTTTGTCTGGATTCTTACACACACTGCAACTGATAACACTGCTGTACATCAATGTGTTGCCAGGGCTCACAGTGGAAGCAAAGAATAGTTCAACTAACCAACCATACACTAAAGAGTGCGTGGGACTGACTACCTTATTCTGAAACCCTTTGACTGCAAAGAAAAAATACACTGTAACTTAACATACTAGAATGCTCTAGGAGATTCAAGATAATTGCGTGAACCAACATCCAGGGCCAAAATGAAAGAAAAGCCGGTTAAACCGGGTGTCACCAAACTTAACACTAAGGGGGTAGCAAAGCATAAAAATAAACCAACACAGAACTGGTGTTGTCAGCAGCTACACACTGCGGGATTTACTGAGAAGGGGATCCAAGCACTTAAGGACTGAGTGGTTCGACGTGCAATAAGGATAATCTGTCGACTAACTATCATAACTTACCATACACAGAGTCATTAAAGATGAAAATAGGGGCTTTTGAGCTGAAACGCTGAATACAGATTCTGAGATCACCATGGAACAAGAAAGGAAATACTGCTAATAATACAAAAATATCTGACAATCAAGGAAGACTGCTAGCAAACAGCATCTTGTCTCGTAAAATTAGATATCTTTGCCATGTCAAGTGCTATGGAGGATAGGAAAGAACAGTGGCAGGAGACATGGTGTCAGGAAAGAGTGGCAAGGGCTGACCAGCATAAAGATGGCCACAGGATATACCTTAGAGATACCTTGGTTAGGAAAACGCATGAGACGGGGCAGCGGCGAGAGATCGAGGTTCTTTCATGTAGGTTGCGATAAGAGCGACCTGCAAAAGATCAGCTACAAGAGAATGAGTAATTATATAAGCAGTTCTGCCCTAATTCATACAGCAGTACTGATGTTAAACTGTGAGTTTATGGTGAATTATTTGGATTTTTCAACCAATGGTAGGTGATAAACACCAGGTGACACAAAGTGCCACCAAGTGGATGAGGATCACACCTGGAGAGGTCCAGGAAACCTCGTTCAGCCATAAGCCCATATTTAGGGTCCACAGCAAAAGACAGGGTGGGGCTTCAAAATAACAAAACATTGTGTCCCGCAGGGGGGGGGGGGGGGGGGGGTGATCATGATAATGATATTTTTCAACCAATACAACTAGCTTCAAAACATCAATTGTTTTGTTGAACTGAAGTCAGTGTTAAACTACTTTGCATAAACTACAGATATTTTGCTGTGGGTTGCGTTAAAAACTATCTGACAAGAAAACTTTATGTTACCTGTTTTAGAACTGACTTCACTGCACTTCAGACATATTTAAAAGTGCTTCATCACCTCCAGAAATATATCAAGAAAAAGCAAGCTAACTGCACAAATATAATGATTACCTTGGACATGTCACAGACTGTGATCCTGTTGTTCAGAGCTACCAGGTCAAAAGAATGCACTTTCTGCGGGATGTTCTCAGCAAGCTTGGCATCGCCACAGCCAAAATCTGCGATAACAAGATTCTTGGGCCTGAAATGGAAATGATCATAAAGTGCCCTGCCAACTGGCCATCGTGTGATTAACAAAATGTATAGTTTGCTGATACTTTCCCCACATCATAATAAAAGGCTATAATCTCTCTTCTTCCCTTTTTAGCAGCAAGTTAAACGGGGTGTCGCCAAAGAAGAAAACCACGCGGATAGCCAAAGAAGAAGAATAAACCAACACAGAACTGGTGTTGTCAGTCTCTACACGCTGAAGGATTTTCTAGGGAGGGTATCCGAGCACTTATGAACTGAGTGGTTCGACGTGCAATATACAATCTGTCGAGTAACTAACTTGGGCTGCCCAGCCCGACCCAGATTAGTAGGTACCAAATAAGGGCAACAGCTGTGATACTGACCACATCACATATCAGTTAGTCCTAACAATTATAGAGTTCACACATTATGCCTACTTTGCATCTTCTGCACACACACACAAAAACAAGCTTGTTGCTTCGCAACTTACAAGTCATATAAAACAGAGAATTTAAAAATGTTAAAACTATGTCACTATATGAGTTAGTCATTTGTATAAGTTAAATGAAAACATCAACACTACCTAAAAAGCTGACTTGGTGTTCAATACACAAATAGGAAGAAAAAAAAAAAAAAAGGATCTTGGGTATGGTATATATAATATATGGGAGTCACCATGGCATCGGCTGCTAGAAGCCCAACTGTCGATCGGAAGGTCGTGTGTGTGCGTCCTGATGGAGCTTTTTTCTTTCAAGAATGACCTCGACTCCCAAGTCGACCCAGCATTGAGTGGGTACCAGGTGCAGTCCTGGAGACTAAAGGGGGCCACGTGACCTACCAAGTGCCGATTGGTCTATAAAAATATAGGCCTAGCCCTATGTTTCCAATACGCCTAAAGGCGTGGAAAAGGGACCTTTCTATATGTATATGTGTGTGTGTGTATATATATATATATATATATATAATCACGTTTAAATTATCTCAATATGCAACTCAGTAACTAGTCTTTTCAAAGTTTAATGAAAACATCAACATTACCTGATATTCTGACATGGTCTTCCAAAACACACATAACATGAACAGACAGCATATCAACAAGGCTTTTTTTTTTTTTTTTTAACCTAATTTGTAGTTTAAAAAAAAAAATTATGTGAAATTTATCTCAGTATGAAATTTAGCAATTGGTCTATGATTAGTTTAACACCAACATAATTGTCCGATATGATGACTTGGTTCAGACACAGACAGGATAAAGATTCAGCAAACAGTTTGCCAGAAAGGACACAGTAAAAAACAAACAAACAAAAACTTTAAATCGTTAAAATTATTTTAAAATTTGATCCAGCCATTTTACTTTCTGTGAGTTTTGTTTAATGAAAAAAAAAAAGTAAAGTTAAGATCCCTTTTCACACCCTAGGCGCATCGGGCATATGGGAAAAGCGTCCCATATTTATATAGACCAATCGGCACTGGGTGGGTAATGTGGTCAGCATTACACCGGCCGTCTTTTACTTCCCCAGGACATGTTTAATGAAAAACATAAACATAATTACACAGCATGCAGATATGGTTCAGGACACAGACACTGTCAGACAATAAGAACAGAAGCATGAACAACAACAATCAAGTTACACTTATCACCAATCAGTATGTCCTTAAGAGAACATCGCACTCTTTATGGCATGCCCAGAAGTCTCCCTTTCTCTAGCCCATTCTCCAGCCCTGTGTGCTTTCATAGCCAAAGCTTCTTCCATGTCCTGTATCTACCTTCACGGGGGTCTGCCTCTGCCTAATTTTCCTAAAACTGCACCCCCCATCGCCGCTCAACAAGGTCAACAATACCTCAGCTTTCAATCGAGGATGCTAGTTAAAACAAGTTTAAACATTTTTTTTTTTAAAAACTGAACATTTTAAAATGTGATTCAGCCACTTACTTGTCTTTGATTTGTTTAATGAAGATGTCAAGAGGGTTCACCGGCCATTTGTGAACCTGGTTCTGAAAGCCCTCATGGTAAACAGCGAAAGCAGCTCGGTCCTCTTTGAACAGCTTCATGGCATCACCACCAGTGCAGGAATACAACTGTTCATTGATGTACCGGAAGCGTGCAGAATCCAGCTTCTCTTTGGCTTGCTGTCCCAGCACTGCTGCCTTGCCCCATATCGAATGAGATTCTGAAGATGGGCTTACTGTAGGCTTCTTAAGTGCATCTTCAGATATGCTTTCAAGCTTCTTGCCTTGTTTAATGCTATTTTTATTGTTATCAGCGGAGCCATTTTCTAAAGGAATTTTTCTGTTCTTTTTATCTGGAATGGAATCTTTTTTATTACTTACATCCGAGCTGCCTTTTTTAATTGGTGTGCCGGTTAGCAATTTTAGCAACATTTGCTGCTTCTTTTTATTCTTCAGAGAAATGCCAGGCTTGACTGAGTTCTGCTCATCAGACTTTGTTGTTCTGGTAGCTGGCTGAACATCTGAACTTGTTACAGTTGTTTCATCATTTGAATTATTGTTACCTTGTTCCAACTTTTTTGTGGACGGCATATGATTATCCTGGACACTTTTTCTCTTTTTGCTTTTACTTTTTATCTGTGAATCCATGGTTGAGCTACCTGTTTGATCGTCCGGGACACTTTTTCTCTTTTTGCTTTTACTTTTTATCTGTGAATCCATGGTTGAGCTACCTGTATGATTGTCAATATTTTTTTTTTGTTTCTGAACTAAAACTTCACTGTCTGGCAAAATGGTATCTATAGAACTGTCTGTGTTTTTCTGAATATGGTCATAAGATTGTGTAGAATCTAGTGTCTGAGATCGTTCACTCAACTTAGAAGAGTGTACACTTGGTTTCTCAACTGTAGATTTTAAATTTTGACTTGAAAGCTCACTGCCCTGAGAAATATCTGAGTTTTGAGCCTTGCTTTTTGAGTTTAAGGCTAGATGTTTGTACTTATTCTTTTTGCTGTTGTTTTTCTTTTTTCTATTTCTTTTTCTCTTCTTCTTTCCCTCTTCTGATTCAGCAACATCACCAGTGGCTACAGTGCTTTTTTCATGCTCTAAAACTTTTGCTTTTTTATTCTTATTACCGACCAAATCATCTGTGCTTTGTGACAATGATCGTTTCCTCTTCTTGTTTTTCTTTTCTAATAATCTTTCTTCTGATGGAGTGTTTAATTTTGGTTCTTGACGTTTGCTGTCCTTTTTCACTTTCTTGGGCTTTGCATTAGCAACATTTGATTTTAATTTGATTTCAGGCGACACGTTAATTTTCTTTTTCTGCTGAGAATTTTTGGTGACCTTGTCACTGATTTTCACATTTTTCTTTTTGTCCGCTATCTTGCTATCTACATCAAAGCCCTGGCTCAAATCTGCAGAACTTATTTCAACTGTTTTGTCATGATCTTTGTTTTTCTTCCTTCTTTTCTTCAACTTTTTCTTATCTTTCTTTGTGTACTGTTCATCATCACTATCAAGAACGGCACTGACGTATGATGTATTGATAGATGCCGCTGGTGTGGTCTTTTTGAGTTTGTATTTCTGGGGGATTAAAAAAAATACAGGGCAATCAAATACTTGACTTAGCTGTGTTGTAACCAGGGCTTTACTTTTAGAACAAAAGTTATGGTACTAACTACAAAATACCTATTACAGTAGCACTGAAAAACAAAGATTAAAGTGGGTACCGCAAGAAATAGAAAGCCCTGGTGGTAACAATACTCAAGGATATATAAATCAATTGGTATAGTGTAAGTTTAGTTGCATATTCTTTACAGTTTTTAAAAGGAGTACAAAATTATAGGGAAGAAAAACAGTTGGTAAGAAACAACAAACAGTTTATGTTAGCTTTACAAAATCGATCACAATAAACAAACAAAGGACGATGCGGCGATTAGCCTTCATCAGCACATAAAGGACAACACAGTACACATACACAAATATGCTCTAACTATGAAGTGACTACATAGGACTCTAATGTATAAAATAAATGATACTCATCTGTGTCCCTGGAGAAAACACTTTGTACAATAGAATGACGGTCAGCCTATATACCTCCAACGCGCGGGTGGGGGGCGAAAAAAGGGGCGGATTAGACGCCAACAGCCTACACTGAGTGTCTAAGGAGGGAGGGAGTGGTTGACCTATAGGGCGTAACCGGGGTTGGGTTGTGGGGATGACATTAGTCCATCCGCATGGAGCAAAAGTGGTGCCTGTGCTTGCAAACAAATATCAGCAGACAGACAGACAGGTAGGTAGGTAGATAGATTAGATTGTGGATGGTGGGGTGATTGGATGAGTGGGTAGCGCAATTGATGGGCGGGTAGACAAATAGACGTAATGATGGCTATACTCGTGGATGGATGGATCGGCTGATATATGAAATCAGGTAAAGACAAGGGTCTCAAGACACGATGCTTCTCACTTACTGTCAGTTATGAAATAGAGACAGTAAGGGTGATTGTTATACAAAGTATCAGTCGAATCGAGCGCAGAACTGGTTAAAAAACAGAATGTAAAGGAGCCATGGAAAAATAGCTAAGGTGGATGGTGTGGTGAGTGGGCGAGTAGGTGGTGAGATAGATGGGTGGGTAGATAAGTGGATGGGTAAAGGATGGCTATATTTGTGGATGAATGGAATTGCTAATATATAGAATCGTATCCTTTACAGGATGTTGCAGAACCAACCCCAACAGCCCCTGGCTTTTGTGTGGTTTTCCTAGGCAAATTTACGTCCAGTAGTTTGTCACTGCTTTCTGGACGATCGGCTTTCTTGATATCACTGTCGAAACCAACGCAAGGCGCATGGCCCGCAGCTGGAATAGAACCCGGCATAGTGAAAGGAAAAGAAATTATAAGAGCTACACACACACACACACACAACATGCATATATATATATATATATGTGTGTGTGTGTGTCTCTGTGTGTCTATTTAAGAAGTTAAACCATTTCTTGTATGTCTGAGAAATATACTGAATACTGAGTTGGCAAGACAGGGTTTCAGATACTGTCACAGTGGACACAGCTGGCATTTCCAGCATCAATGACAATACCATCCTGATGCAGTCACAGATTCGATGGGCAGGTCACCCCATCTGCATGCCATTAGCTTCCAAAAGTAATCTTTTATGGTGAGATACAAGAAGGTAGACGCTCTCATAGTAGTCAGAAGAAAAAAATATCAGGGACAGGCTAAAGGCATTACTTAAAACTTTCAGTTTAAACCCTGATCATATGGTGAAAATCTACCCGAAAAGGCAGTGACTTGTGAAGCATCGCCACAAAAGAGCAGCTGAACAGCAAAAACAGGCTAGAAAGACCTACATAATGCGTTATCTAGAAATTGCACCCTACCCCCCCCGGGTCCTAGATCCTTCTGGGTCTGTACTGAGCTTATAAGTCACCTCCGGACACAGAAATCAAACTATAATTTCATGACGGTTGAAAGAAAGAGTGGTCTTCGTCACTTGTGATGGACCAAGAACAACAAAACTGAATTTACTATATGTACATATAAATACAGTTTATATGTTACCTTTGGTTTGCCAAACAATGAAGTATTCAATGACTCTGCTGTTATATCCACATCCCACTTAGTATCAAACTGAAACATCCTGATATCACAATCAGTCAGCTATGTCTGAAAATCATACAGTACAAGGGCCATCAACATTAATTACACTCGGAAACAGTGAGAGTTGTGGCTGTAGTTAAACTACAGGACCGTTTAGACACTAAAAGCACATCAGAGATAAGGCGCTAGACCCACATTTTTATGGGCTAACCGGTATGCAGTACCGGCACTTTTTTCAGCATTATTTTTTTTTTCAGCACTGCTGTTGTTACAGATACCCTGTAGTCTTTTTCTTTATGTTTAACAGCTTTAAACTCTAGTAGACGACAATTCTGGTAGACTGTTGCTTCCTTCCCTCTCAGGCAGATGCTGTCTGACTTTCTACCCCACCAGGACATCACACAAGCGATAAACACCCGATGACACAAAGTGCCACCATGCGGATGAGGATCACCGTGGAGAGGTCCCAGAAACCGCGTTCAGACAATTGGCCATATTGATGGCCTGCCTATATTGCGGCCCCTGGCAAAAGCCAGAATGGGGCTTCAAATAAGAAAAAATTACGTCCCGAAAAGGACGTAAGTATACCTCTGAAGGAAATCCCCAGTTAGTCGACTCTTATGCGTGTCTGTTTGGGGGGGGGGGGGGGGGGGGGGAGAAGCTGTAGAACCATATAATAATGAAACTGTGGTAGTTATTCGACCCAACCTATGCTTGTTTAATAGACATTTTTGTAGCCTATAGTGAAATTTTAAAGGGTTGAGATGAGCACTTATGGGTTACTAAACGCTTGAGCCATTATTTTGACTGTTGCTTAAATCTAAATAACGAATTCTGTTCGTATTCCTTCGTTGCAGATTTCAAGCTGTACGAAAAACATGGCCAATTATTAAGACACCATTTCACATTCTTTTTTGGGTGTGCCTAGTTCATGTTGGTCATGTATCATTGTATCTTAGTACACTTGTTTCCATAGTGAGGCACACATGCTAAGCATTTGTAGGTGACAGATTTGATTCCGGCATGGCAACAATAACTTTTGATTTTTACGTTGCCCAGTGTATCCTACTATCACTAACTTTCTAAGAGAGTAAATTATTTGGCTATCCTCAGAATAAAAGGCCAAAAAATATACCCCAACAGGGCCTCAGTCACATGTCAATTGCAACTTCTGGGGACTATACCACCACCACCGAGAGTATCTCCAATGACACGTGGATTGGGGCTAAACTAGATGGCTGGGACTCACGAGTAAATAAAATGAAGGAAGCTGCAGGAGATGTGGTAGCTGCTGCCCGTGAGTCCCAGCCATCTAGTTTATTAGTGGGGGATATACGTGACTGAGGCCCTGTTAGGGTATATTTTCGGCCTCGATAATTTGAGACCGTTATTCAGAGGATAGCCAATTATTTGATTAATTTTCATAAATTTAATTAGGGAGCCACCGTGGTCTAGCGGCTAGACGTTCGCCTGAGGATCGGAAGATAGTGGGTTCAGTTCCTGACAAGGCCAGATTTTTTTCAAAAGTGACCTTGGCTTCCAGGTCGACCAAGCCTGTAGTGTACCAGTCCTGGGAAGTAAAGGCAGCCGGCATGATGCTGACCAAATCTGAATCACACACGAGCCGTTTGGTCTTTTTATTAGGTTTAGTTTAGCTCTGTATACCCAATACAATACACTTGAAAGGTGTGGAAAAGAGTCATTTACTTTTTACAAGTATGTATTAATAATTAATTAAAGTAAGAAGTTCGTAAAAGTAATTTAAATTTTTATACTTGAATATTATAAGTGTGTTTGAACCGTGAGAATACATTACATTACATTTCCATTTCTAACAATTATTTAAAAAAAAAAAATGACTAATTACTAACTAAAAACTTAGCTGAAAACCGATGTGCTCTTAAAAAGGAACTGAAATAAAATTTAAGTAAGATAAATATCCGCTGAATAAAATGAAAACGTCTACTTTAAAGTTTTCCGAAAATGCTCGCTTTTTCAAATAAAATCAGTATTTTGAACACATGCCACCATGTTCAACAAGGGCCACCACTCTGAAATAGTCAGCGAGAGTTGTCTTCTGCGAAACCTGCAGACGATAAAACCAGCAGGCCGTATCCAACCATCAACGGATGATCAACTGTCACATGAGGAGATAATATCAGTATTTTTTCGGGCGCAGTTTAATTCACACTTTTTACGGTAAAACATGATGCACTTAAAGGATTTCCTCGTTCTGTGCTTTGTGTGCATATGCGGTACGTATTATTGTGTATTACTTATGATAGCAATAGTCTACATGCGAAAGTCTCTCTTCTTCTTCTTCTCTTCTGCCTTTTTATCCCCCAATGGAGCATAGGCCATAGGCCCTCAACCAACTCACGCCAAGTCGTCCTTCGCCATTGCATGGAGTATGGAGCTCTCCCCATGTCCTCCCAATCTTTCTAACCTCGTTCTCCAGCTCTCTTCTCCACGTGTTTTTTGGCCTTCCTTTATTCCTAAGCCCCTGTGGGTTCCAATGCAAAGAAAGACATTCTAGATATGCTGTTCTCCTGTTTTCTCAGTATGTATGTGCCCTATCCAACGCCAGCGTCTTTTCCTCACCTCTTGGTCCACTGGAGCCTGTTTAGTTCTCTCCCAAAGTTCTACATTAGTTATTCTATCATACCATTTAATTTCGTCTATTCTGCACAGGCACCAGTAATGAATGTTGCATAAACGTGTCAAAAAAACAATTATACTTTTTTAAGGTGGTTTAGCCTACACCCAGGACCGGCTGTATATACGAACACTGGCAGAAACTTCTGGTTGTTCATCTACTTCTTATGCACATTTGCAGTTGTACGGTCTGTGTTCATTTTTGTGAAATTTCTGCTTCGCAAACACTGGCTGTAAACTTCTGGCTGTTCATCTAATTCTGGACTTTAGTCTTGATAGCGCCCAAACTCTAAACAAAATTGAAGAAAGGAATAGCACATTTAAATAGTAGCAAGACTAGCTTTGCACAGAGTTAGAAGAATAAAAGCAGACCTGATAACACACAGAGAATGGTATAGGAGAGTGAAGTGGCTACGAGGAGACTACCAGACATGACGTTCTGGTATGAATTGGTTCAGGGCCTATGCTGTGCTGCAGGATACAGTGAAGAAGAAGGAGGATACAAAAGTCTGATATCTAGAAGGATACAGATGTCTAATTTCCAGAAGAGTCCAATTATTTGGTATCTAGAAGGGTACAGATGTCTGATCTATAGCATTGTACAAATGTATAATCTCCAGAAGGGTGCAGTTACTTGGTATCTAGAAGGGTACAAATGTCTGGTCTCTAGCATTGTATAAATGTATAATCTCCAGAAGGGTGCAGTTACTTGGTATCTAGAAGGGTACAGATGTCTGATCTATAGCATTGTACAAATGTATAATCTTCAGAAGAAGGGTGTAGTTATTTGGTATCTAGAAACTCCAATATAAGCAGTAGGTATGGCCAATTTACTGTATAAAAACATTTGACTATACTTAGTCACTCCTCTTCTACCTTGGGATGGAGAGGTTGCCAGACTTCTATGTCAGCAGTTTTCTTTTTGGCTTTGCTCCATTCAAGTCTTCTGTTAGTCAGCAACTTTCAGATGTTGTCTTGCCAGTAAGCCTTGGATTGTCCTGGCGGTCTGGTTCTTGGCCACCCATGCCTGCACCGTACCATATAAAAAGCTTAGTACAAATAATTTTAGGAATTTTTATCTTTATTGTTATTATTTTTTCATCAGGACTGTTGAGTCTGTCAGAGGGACAAAGCGGCTCTGAAAGCAAACAAAGGCCAAATGTACTTTTTATTGTTATTGACGATCTTCGTCCAACTCTTGGTTGCTATGGAGAGCCACTTCTTCGAACACCAAATGTGGACAACTTAGCAAGCAAATCAATTTTATTCGATCAGACTTTTGTACAGGTAATAGGTTTAATAATCATCAGTGTTCTTCTTCCTGTTCACCATCTGTAAACTGTAACATAAAGTTCTGGCTGTTTATCCATTTCTGGACTTGAGTCTTGTTCCAGAATTTGGGTTTTGTCTTATGTGTTTATGTTTTACCTTAAATTATTATCACCCTTGAAGGTTAAACTGGGTAATCATCCAGTAGGTTTGGGTCCCATTTGAGGGGTTGGGGGGAAGGGGGGGGGGGTCTGTGTGTGGATAAACTCATTAGCTCCTCACAATTGTGTTGTAAAAGGTGACTGATTAAGAGTTTGCTTAAGATGTTTTGGGCAAAAAGATGCAGATATCATAGCCTAGCTGTAAACCACACCACAAGTCATCCATCCTTTAACAGAAGGAGAAGAGCAGGGTACCTTAAATTTATTTCTGTTCGCTATGATGTTAATCAAGTATCACCCTTATCAATGACAAAAGGGTGCATATTTTTCGCATTCACCAACTGTAAACTCTGATTTACTTCTAGACTTTGGTCTTGTTTGAGATCCTGAGTTTTTCATGTATGTCCATTTTACAGTGGGAGCCATGTTAGCACAGTCGATAGAAGTCTCGCTTTCAAATCCAGCTGCGACTCGCTGCAGCCCACGGCCAGTGTTCAAAACCAGGTGGTTCCTGGGGTTAACCCAGCTTCTAGGTAATGAATACCAGAGTTAACACTCTGGGGTAAATGGTGAAACGTCGCTGTAGCTACGGAGTTGTGTGCGGACGGACAGGCAGACAGTTTCTTTATCAGCTGTCTGTACTGGTGCCAGAGCACTTATGGTTTATAACTGTGTGCAGTGACACTGGTTCACATCTCCCGACTTTACCATTATGTTTACCATTTAACAGATCTGGCGTATTTGTATGCAGAATGTTGGTTCCTCGCCTCTCATGAAATTAGTGAACTTTTACAACATGCTCATTAGGTGGCAGTGAGTCTTCCCCCCCCCCCCACCCACCCACCCACCGTGGGGCCGGCCTGGGTCCCACACATGGACAGAAGGTTACAGGAAATTAGTACTTGGTTTACCTCTAAAGTACCCCTATTATAACCAGTTTAGAAGAATGAATGGTATCTGAGATCTGTTCCCGCTGTTGGGTTGACATCCTGGTCCCTGTGGTGTTAAACTTTCAGGTGACTAATTAATGATTTCCTGAAATTAAATGGACAGAAACAAAAGAAGCAGATATTGCAGCCTGGCTGTAAGTAGTAATACGTGTAAACTGCATTTATCAACAACATGTCCAGTAACTCTGAGGAGGAAGAAGAAGAAGATAAAAAAGCAGCAGCAAAAGAAACCTTGAAATGGCAGTTCTAGAGTGGAAGGGAAAAAAAATTGAAAGTTATTTAGGTTTGAAAAGGGATCTAGGTCATCAGCATCTCAGAAAAAAAAAAATATATGAGAGCCACTTCTACAAGGTGAAGGTTAACTTCAGCAAACATTGTTATCTGATATAGAGCACTCAGCATATCAACTGCTTTTTCTTGACAATGTACTACAGGATAAGAGCTGCTTTTATAGGGTGAAGTGTTTCCTTTTTTGGGTTATACACTGTTTAAACAAATGTTTTGTTTCATGTCAATATTTTCCCAGTGAATCAAGAGTTGAAGAAAAAAAAAGTCTTTACACTGGTACCTGCTTGATTCCTCCAAATGAATAAACAGAGGGGGAACCTTTGAGGCCGTTAAATATTATAAATTAATCAAGTAACAGAAAGTGAATTGATCGGCACTCATAGAAAGAAGTAGAAAGATAGAAGAACACACTAGACAACATAAAAATTGAAAGCTATAGTTACCGTGCCTGGAATTGAACCTGTCACTTCCAGACGGCATCTGCTCCTCGCCATGAATACAAGTGCACTAAGAACATTCCCCCAACATAGTTTTTGTAAAGTATTCTGTCTTCAGTGCCCAGAATATTTTATTTATCAGTTTTCTGGTCATTTTGTTTTCATTTCAGGTTTGTCTTGTCCCAAAGTATTTTATTTGTCAATTTTCCAGTCATTCTTTTTTTTCATTTCTAGTTTGTCTTGTCACAAAGTGTTTTATTTGCCACTTTGCCAGTCATTCCGTTTTTATTTCTAGTTTGTCTTGTCATCAGTCACATATGCTGAACCATCTATGACTAGTATGTTTGATAATGTTTCTCTGCATCTCATGATCTCCGACAGAGAGTATTCATTTCATATGTTAATATTTGTCTCTCTTATAATGAAAGGCTGTGCAAAATAACTGATTATTTTGTTCGTCCATCATGAGTGATGCTGACTACTCTTTATTCCATCCTTCTTGAAACTATAGTTGATTGTCTGTGAGTCCAAAGATACGGAATGATCTAATGCAGTGGGGACAGGGAACAGTGTTTGTGTGCAAAAAAAACCACTATTAGAATAATTATAATAACAGCATAGAATAACCCTCCTTGCAAGGCTAACACCAACAACAGATTCCTAAAGAAGTTGAGTGTGGCTGAAAATATAAATATCACACCACTTCTGTAAACAGGCACAAAACAACAGTGTCCAAAACAAAACAAAAAGATCAGATAAACAGAACTTTCTGTGTGGGTTCCTGGGTTCGTATTTTAATGGGGAGAAAAAAAAAGACTTGGCAGCCCTCTACTCTTTCAGCACAAAGTAACGTATCATGCGTTTGTTGATGTCTTTGACCTGGGCCCTAACCACACACAAAAACAAGATCAGAAACTATCAATGTGTGAAATGAGATGTTTGAGAAAAGCAGTCATGTATGACAAGAATAGACCATAAAGGAAACAAAGATATCATAAGAATGGTGGGAACAACATCTGTATTTAGACTCATTGAAAAACAGACACTAAAATGGTTTGCTGAAACCAGATGTACTGGGCTAAAAGGCACCCGATATCGCAGCCTAGCTGTAAGCTACAATACAACATGCCAGCCATCCTACTAAGGACAAAGGTAGAAGAAGAAGTAAACAGAACAGCAGAAAAAAGAACCCCCAGATTGTATTCTTCTTTGGGATCAAGTAAAATACAAGACCCTGTATGCAGGTGTTTGTTAAAGGCCACCCCATATAATTTTTATTGCAGCAAGCCGTCTGTGGCCCCAGTAGGATATCATTTCTGACTAGCCGACGACCCGATACAACCCGATTGTACGACTTTTACTCGTATTGGAGAGTTCATGCTGGCAACTACACCACGCTGCCTCAGCATTTCAAGGAAAGTGGCTATATCACCCAGTCGGTGGGCAAAGTTTTCCACCCCGGTACGTTTGATAACTTTCTCTATAGGATGTTATTGTATATCTGTTATGTCTGCTGAAGAATTGTGTGAGGTGGCTTCAAATGAAAACCTTAAAAGTGAAGAAATTACAGTAAATGCATGAGTGGGGTAGGAACTTTCAAATGGGTGTGACTTCTGTGACAGACTGTTAACGACCGGGCAGGGCTCACCAAGTAGAAACCCAGAGTCAGCTGCCACCATTTTGAAACTTCCTTCTCCACTGATACACTTGCTGGGCTGACAGGCATGCATCACTATCACTCAGATCAGTCAGTCAACATATCCTTTACAGAATGTTGCTTACTTCACCGATCTGCTGAAAGACTTTCTTTCTCTGGCCAGTTCACTAACCTTGTGTGCTTTTACAGTTGAAGCTTCTTCAATGTCTTGTATCCAGGCAAGCATCACTATCAGTCAAATCAATCAGTATATCCTTCACAGAATGTCACTCTCTTCATTGCTCTCCTGAAAGTCTTTTTTTCTCTAGCCAGTTCTCCAACCTTGTGTGCTTTTATAGTCAAAGCATCTTCAATGTCCTGCATCCAGGCAATCATCACTATCAGTCAAATTAATCAGTATGTCCTTCACAGAATGTTGCTCTCTTCACTGCTCTCCTGAAAGTCTTTCTTTCTCTAGCCAGTTCTCCAACCTTGCATGCTTTTATAGTCAAAGCATCTTCAATGTCCTGCATCCAGGCAAGCATCACTATCAGTCAAATCAATCAGTATATCCTTCACAGAATGTCACTCTCTTCATTGCTCTCCTGAAAGTCTTTCTTTCTCTAGCCAGTTCTCCAACCTTGCATGCTTTTATAGTCAAAGCATCTTCAATGTCCTGCATCCAGGCAAGCATCACTATCAGTCAGTATATCCTTCACAGAATATTGCTCTCCTAATGCTCACCACATCACCCACCAAGTGCCGATTGGTCTATAAAAAATATGTCTAGCCCTGTATTCCCAATATGCCTAAACGAGTGGGAAAGGGACCTTTAAAAATGAAGTTAACAACAACACAGCCAGTAAATTATAAAGGCGGTTTTCAACATCCTGTTAAGAAATTGATTGCTCCATTTGTTCTCTCTCTACTGCTGCCTAACGGTTTATCATACTATCCTGAGATGAAAAAATATGGGTCTGAATGACAGACCAGCAAGTTTAACATATGGTCCTGAGATGACAAAATCTCAATCGGATGACAGACCAGCATGTTTAACATACGATCCTGAGATGAAAAAATATGAGTCTGGATGACAGACCAGCAAGTTTAACATACGATCCTGAGATGAATAAATTTCAGTCTGGATAACAGACCAGCAAGTTTAACATATGATCCTGAGATGACATAATCTCAATCTGGATAACAGACAAGCAAGTTTAACATATGATCCTGAGATGACAAAATTTGAATCTGGATGACAGACCAGCAAGTTTGACATACGATCCTGAGATGACAAAATGTCATCTGGATGACAGACCAACAAGGCAGATCCCAGATACCCCCTTCAACCTCCAAAGAAGTTATAATTAGGACACCCTTAACAGCTACACAAGCCAGGTGTAACCTGCAGTGCTATGCGGGTAGTGAGAAATCCCACTAATGTATTATATTTGGCTTGTCTGTACTACAGGTATTGCTAGTAACCGCAGTGATGATTCTCCATACAGTTGGACCAACACTCCATATCACCCACCTACTCAAGCTTACAAGAATTCTAAGGTATTTCAGTGGCTCTTCTTCTTTTTCTCCTTCTGGTGCTGCTTTTTCTGCTGCTGCTTCTTCTTCATCGTCGTCTTCTTCTCTTCCTTTCTGCTGCATTTGCCCTCAAAAGAGCAGTTATAGCATGTTGTTTTGGGGTTTACAGCAAGGCTGTGATATCAGTGCCTACAGCCCCCTTCCCCCACACCCTTCATTATTCACCGTTTACTAAATATTTATTATGGGTGCAGTGGACCCCCCCCCCCCCCCCCCCCACCAGTAGAATCAGAATCTGTCTCTGAACTTTGCTATAAATTATGTTTTGTTCAGCATTGAAACTCGTTGTTGGCTGCTAAAGATGAGAATGGGGCACTTATGGGAATGTGCCAAGTGTTGTGATGCCACCTCAGCTCAGCTCGGCTCACTTAGATGAAAGATGATAGAATAGGAGAATTAGTCATATGGAAGAATACTACACCAGAGGAAGACAAAAATACAGGAGTATTCAAAATGATGGATACACTGGTTCATGTAGATTTCCTTGAATATACATTACATATTATATATGTATATACACACACACACACAAGAGAGGGGGAGGTGTAAAGTTTACAAACAGTAGGGGTTATAGATGTTTAATATGGTCACTATCTGCTGCTCAGCAAACATCAAAGCGATAACCAAAGTCATTCCACACATGAAGAAGTATCTCTTGCATAAATGAGTTTACTTTAACTTTGATTCAATTATACAGGTGTGCCAGATCAGCTCTAACAGTAGTTTAGAAACTTTAGACTTAATACCTATCATTTTGAAAAACCCGTTTTTTTGTGTGAAAGCCGGTAATAGTATAATTTTCACCAACTTCATAAAATACCCTCAAGGTGAGAATTAGAGCAGCAGGTTAGCTGGTCTGCACCAGATGAGGGACTTAATGAAGAAAGGGATGAATCTGGGCCCATGTCTGTTTATACAAAATTTTATGGATCTTCTAGGTTTGCATTCTTCTTTTGTCCATTTTTTGCTGTGTGCCCCTGTGCATCGCAGGTTAACAGATGATCAGTTTCTGAGCTAGGGCCCGCTGTGTTGCCTTGTATGCTGTGATGTTATGAAGTTTCAAGATGTCAGTGACTCCTTCAGTCAAAAAATTTTTTGGGTCATCCCCTACCTCTTCAATAATTTGTTTTGGGGTCGTCCCCTACCTCTTGGTGTTTCTACTTTCATGTTGCATGCTTTTGTTGCTGGCATCATAAGATTCATTCTCATTAAGTGGCCAAACCATTTCAGTCTCTGTTTTTCAGTAAATTTAATTACAGGCATTGTTCCAATATTTCATGTAATTTCTTTGTTTCTCACAGGATCTTTTCTATCTTCTAGTTTTGTTCATAGCCTTTCTCAAACATCTCATTTTTCTGTTTGGTAGATTTTCTGATTTCATAAACCACTTCTAGAGCATTTGGTGGTAAACATTTAAAACTGCTACTGGTTTGTTGGACCTGTCACAGGTTTGCCCTTAAATGAACACTGGTTTTAACACTTGAATCCTTTTTTGTTTCCCTTAAAAAGGCGGTTGGCACGTTGTGGTGTGAGCTAGGCTGCGATATTTGTGCTTTTCAGCCCAACACATCCAATTTTAGAAAACTTTTAATTAGTCAAGAAAGTTTTGAAATAAAGCTGTGGCAGATTGCAGAAGCACTTGTCTCTGCATTCCTGTTATTAGGACTGTGAAACTCCCACTTCCTGTTTATCAATACCCCTAAGGAAAGCAAAGAGCCCTTACATTGTAGCCAGCCTTGCATATTTGAAGAGCCAATTAAGAAAGGGTTGATTTTACTGTTGGCCTTACTATCTTAAGCCACTGAAATCTTTTATTACCAAAACAATCACCATACCTTAATTGTAACTTACTGTTGGCGTCTGTGGCTTAGGCGTTGCAAATGCACTTTGTCATGCCGGAAGGTTTGTTTTGTGTTGGTTTCGATAGTGGTACTGAGAGCTGACCGTTCAGAAGGCAGTGGCAAACTACTGAACATAAGATGTGTCTAAGAAAACCACAACAGCCCAGAAATGCTGGGGTTGGTTCTGCAAGGTCCTATAAAGGATACACAACTAACTAACTAGGATTGAATACTTTTGGAGCTTCCTGTGCTCCTTCTAGATGCAACAGGAATCCATTCTATCCCAGTTGTTACTTCAGCTCCTTTTGTCCTACAGCGACAGAAAAGATTAAGGCAGCCAATTATGACCAAGCCTGAAAAGGAATCAGTTGTAAAAAAGCCAAATAAGAGGAAATAAAGCTTTTCACTGTTATCTTCTTCAAGTTTATTGTAAAGTCTGATTTCTGTCTATATTAATTTCACTGGCTGCTGAGGACAGAGCACTTGTTAGCAATGTGCTGTAATGTTAGTTTTTAGCTCAACGCTTAGCAGCCCTCAGAAGGGTAAAGAACCATTTTCCGGGCATATTAGGCACGTATGGCTAGACCTTTTATTTTATAGAGCTATCAGAACTCAGTGGGTGATGGGGTCAGCATCACACTAGCCGCCTTTACTTCCCAAGACATTTAAGGCTGGGATAACCTGACAGCCAAAGTCTTTTTTTTTGGGGTAAAAAGTCAGCTCCGTCAAAACCTGAAATTACAACTTTCTGATCTGCAGGCGAGCATCTAACCGCTGCACCACAGCGGCTCCCAACAACTCTAATAAGAAAAATTATAAAGACCAGAACACCATTGCCCAGTTTATACATAAAAGCTGATATATTTTGCAGGTTTGTCCCAACAGAGACGGCACCTTAGGAATGAACATTGTGTGTCCTGTTGATTTGGATGAGATGCCAGAGAAGTCGCTGCCAGATATTCAGAGCTCAGATTTTGCAGTGGAGTTCCTGAAAAATCTGTCACAGGCAGAAACAAACCAGCCTTTCTTCTTAGCTGTTGGCTTCCATAAACCACACATCCCACTGAAGTATCCGAGGGCATATAAAAGTAAGTATTCTTGTAGTAGACAGCTTCTTCTTCACTTCCTCTTTTACCACTTCAGCAATTGTTGGAGACATTAGTTTCTGCTTCTTGCTCTTCATGCTGTTTTATCCTGTCTTTCCATGTTGTTTTTGGTGTACTCGCGTACCTTATGCTCTGCGCCCTTTATCTCCTTTTATCAATGCCTAGTATGGTAAGATGTCACAAGGAATTCTCTCTAGATGGACAGACCATTTGATTTACTGTTTTTGAATATGATTTAGAAATGGCACTGTGCCTACTTTTCTCTTATGACTCTTCCTGATTTATCTTTTCTGATTACTCCTGCAGCCCAGACAACTACAGCAGCCTACTCTGTATTATATTTGGTTTGACTTTCAGTAATAAAAGTGTATAAATGTAATACTGTATTGTATGCTGTTAATCACATGATCATACTTACTGTACAGTGGACTATTCAACTCATAGGTCTTTTTATTCACTGTCATGGAAAGTTCTGGTTGTTTGTCAGCTTTTGATCTTTAGTCTTGTACCAGGACTTGAGTTTTGTGTTGCCCATCCATTTGACATTAGATATTAGTTAGGGTGAAAAAATAATTATTAAAAATAAACCCACTTTTAAATGATCAGAGATGGCAGTGTGTCGGGTGTTTTTAACGGTGAGCACCTCATATTGTCAGGTTTTTATCCCAACACTGCACACCGATGTGAGAAACTGGACTAATATCTGAGTCCAGACACAGTCCTGGATAACCAAGAAAACAAAAAAGGTGGCTCATACAATACAATGAAAGTAGCTGTACTTGTATCTACAGGAGTAGGACAAGGGATAGATAGATATCAAGATGAATCCAATGAGATAATATCAAGATACACATTTAAACCCTCTGACTTTCTCCTCTCCTTGTATTTTTTTGTTATTATAACAAAAGCCCCCATCAAGTGGTTTATATATAAGTTAGTTGAGGTAAACTAGTCTTGAACCTAAGTACAGAATTTACTCAACTATTTTATGATAACATAAACAAGATTTTATTGAATAAATAAATGGGTGGTATTGATCTTGAAATCATAAAGGATATCAGTTCAGGGATGGTAATGAGTCAGTCGATGAGTTCAATACGTGCCTATACTAGTAGAGTGAGGATGGTGTTACGATGATGATAATTTTTATTCACAAGAATAAAAGTTTTATATAACTTGTGAAACAAATGGAGAAAATAAACCTCATGTAGTTCTCAATTTGAGACCAAATGCTATCTTTTCCAGTTTGGCATCCTCACTGCTTCAAGCAAGTCATTACACTCAGACTGTCTGCAAAGAATGGATGCTGACTAATCCCTGCCCAATGTTAGAACTAGAAAATGAAAACACAGTGCCACCTAGTTCTGTCTCAAAGCTTAGGGTTTAAGCCCAACAGATGGTGTGCTGATAGCAGAGTCTCATTTTCCAGCCCTAGAGTCCACCCTTTTATAACTTCTTTTAAGCTCCTCCTCTCCTCCACCCAAAATGACTATCATTCAAAAGATGCCAAAACTCTGCCTTGGGGTATAGACAATTGGCTAAATGCTTGTCAGTCAAGAAAGCTCAAACACTAGTTTGCATTCCCACAGTCTGTTAAGCTGGACATAACATTGCATCGTCATAAAAGAGCCCCACCTTTCTTTCCCCTCAAGCTGCCAAATACTCTGACACCTGGTTCAGGTCACCAACACCTCCATCTGACAGATGTAAACACTAGCTACCTGACCTACATTCAAGTAGGGTGATCTCAGGGGGAGATAATTACTTTATCAGAGTTGCCTGCCCCTGATGGTCTGGCATAAAAAATAATTGACACCTCAAGTTAGTACATTCAGTTTAACTGGTACCCCCCAGTCTATCTGCTCAGTCTTATCTGTATGCTTGACACTATACCTATGGGCAAGATTCTGAATATTTGATATCAACTGCAGTCTAGGGAAATCAAATAGCTTTGTTCAGGATGGCCTTAACTTAGGTTATATCCAGGACCATATTTTCCTCTATACTTAAAAATACTGACATTTGAAAAGATCTGAACATCAAGGAAGATTGGCTAATAAACAGCATCTTGTCTCAGAGGCTGAAGTATGTTGTTGGCCATAACAAGCATGATGATGGTTTGGAAAAAAATAATAGCAAAAGGCCAGACATGAGCAAGGAGGGGCAGGTCTCGACCAATGTAAAGATGGGCACAGGATATAAGTGACTCCTTGGATATGAAAGCTCACGAGATGGGAGGGCTGGTGAGAGACTGAGTTTCTTTCAGGCAGGCTGTGATGAGAGCAACATTCTTCAAAAGACCTGCTACACGAGGACTCAGATCTACATTCCATACTGTTGATAGCTAGCCATTCTTTAACTCTTATCTGTGTCAGATTTGTACCCGATTTCTGAGATCAAGCTGGCCAAGTATCATACTTACCCTTGGCGCATGCCCCTGGTGGCCTGGAATCCATTTATTGATTTACGAGATCGAGATGACGTAAAGAATCTGAATGTTAACTTTCCCTTTGGGCCAGTGCCGGAATCTTTTCAGGTAGGCAGTATGTTTCCTTTATAGTTGATTGGTATATAACTGTGTTGGAAATCTGTAGTTGTGCTGTCACCTACCTGTAAATGAATAATGAAAGAAGACATGAAGTTAGAAGAAATAACGTGTAAAAATGTGTGAACGTGGAATTAGGAGTGGATCTGGCAAGGAGGAATGTATGAGAGGAAGAGAAGGACATGTATGTAATCAGTATGCTACAGTAACCATAAGCATCTACACCTTAAGACGTTTTTCTACGGGAGACAAGACATAGCATCTGTGGGTATGCCTAGTGTGCTGTGATGTCGAGTCTTAAATCAATAATCACATATGTGAACACATATCTCAAACTTTTCTTCTTCATATTCTTTCTAGCTTCTAAGGGAGCATAGGCCCCTCAACCATCTCACCCCAAGTCCTTCTGTCTTTTCCAATCTTCTGCAGCTGTCTTCATATCACTACGATAATGTTCGTCTCTAATTGTCTTGTATCAGTATTTTAGGTCTCCTTCTATTTCTTTTATCATGTGGGCTCTTGAGAAAAGACTTTCTGGTTATGCTGTTAGCAGGTTTTCCTAACGTGTGTCTTATCCAGCTCAAACATTTTTCCTTCACTCCCTGATTTTTTGTTAGGATTTGTTTACTTTGCTCATTGAACTCCACATGACTGATCTGCTATTCCATTTTATTCATTCTATTCTGCACGCGCATGCACATACATGCACACTAACGCTAATTGTTTCTAGTTTATTAGTAAAATTGTTTTAGTTATTTCTCGTACAGCTGACTTGCTCAGGTATTCTGGTGTTATAAAAAACACCTTTTGCATTTTGCATTATTAATTTTAATATCACTGTCGGTTCTGCCCCTAACTTTACACACATGTGCACTCATGCAATGCGAGCACACACTCTCTGTGCCTCTCCACAATGAAGTTGGCTAGTCTACCACTGCGACAGGATGCAGCCCTAAATCCTCAGGCTCAAAGACTTCCCTGCCTACACAGCGAAATTGGTGAATACAGGCAGTTTGGCAGTGTCAGTCAGTGAATGTCAATATTGTTATCATACTCTTCAGTTGCACTAAGCTGAGTTAAACCAGCATCATACCACTCAGGACATTTCCATAAGCGCTACATTCCCATCTTCAGCTGCCAGACTAGAGTTCCAATTCACTTGGTACCAGCAGCAGTCTGATTGTTTCTCCATCCATCTTGCCTTTCCTCTGAGTGTTAAGTGTCAGCCCGATCCCAAGTCACTCCCCACTGCCTTCAGATTATGATGGTCTGTTCATGCTTTGGCACTGTTTGCTCTTCAAAGGGCATTGACAACATCTAGTTTGCCATAGCATCAATTTACCACCAGCTGGTGTAGAACCAGCCACTATGTTTGCTTTTTCATTTCCCAACACACCGGAAAATATCCAACTACAGAGGACCTCTGAAGTGATGCCTGCCACTCTGCACAGAGCATACCCATCTTTACATTTTTCAGCATACTCTTAAAGACATGAAACACTTCTGGGCTATCCTTCGAATGGCAGCCAAAAACACACCCTGACAGGGCCTCATTAGGTCGTACGTTTTAAACATTAAAAAACTGGAACTAGAAAATAATGAGGAATGGAAAAAAAGGAAAAATGATGAAATTGACTACTTAGCGATAATTAAGGCCTTTACATCTGAAAATTGTGGCACAGAAGTTGCAAATAGTGCCCAAGAATTTGTTCTTTGTGGCTGCGGCGCCATTGAAACTCGCCTAAATATGATCGGAACAAGGCGCGGCTAGTGCCACATTGGTAACGCAGTTTTCACCGCTGAGAGTATCCCCCGAGCCGCAAAACTAGATGGCTGGGACTCACGAGCAAATAAAATGAGGAAGCTGCACGAGATGCGGTAGCTGCTGCTCATAAGTCCCAGCCATCTAGTTTGGCCTCCTTCCCTCGGCAGGGAGTTTAACTCGCTTCGCGACATCAACTCCGGAAATTTATCCTACTTTTGCCGCAGTATATTCACCAGAAAGAAGTCTGAAATTTACATGTGATTGAGGCCCTGTCAGGGTGTTTTTTGGTCACCATAATATGTTGCCGTTGTTCGGAGAATAGCCCACTTCTGAATGCCAATAATGAACTCATATATCCACTGCAGCTTCTCATGAGACAAAGTTACTATGCTGCCACATCTTACATGGATGCTCAGGTGGGCAAGGTGTTGTCAGCATTAGAGACCAATGGCTTCTCAAACAATACTATTGTGACCTTCATCGGCGACCATGGTGAGTATGTGTTCCCTCTTCTTCTTCTTCTTCTTCTTTTCCTCGCTTGAAATAGATTATCTATATCTGCAATGTTGTCTTTAGCATGAACTTCACTGTCGTTGTAATTCAGTCAGTAACCTGTACTGTTTAACTGGCAACTGTGTTTCTCTTGGCCAAAAGTTTTGACTTGATATATTGTACCTGTGACAGTCCTGGAGGACATGATCTGTTGTCTCAGGTGCTAATAATCTTAAATTTTGTGTGCATGTGGCTATGAAGTCGGCTGTTTCCTGTTATAAAGCGTAAAATATGTTTCATGTGAAACTGGTTTTATCTTTCTCTCTAAAATCTATGTGGTGAAGTGGTGAGGACATTTGCCCAGTGCTCTGAAGACTGTGGGTTTTGTTTCACAGGATCCCAAGGGATTTTTGCTTGGACTAGGGAGGTTGTGCTTTGGGTCGAGAGAGACTGAGACAAATGGAATAAAACCTGAAGCAATGAAGTCATTGTTGTTCTTAGTTTTAACTTTCAGCTTGAGCTCTGTCAGCTTCAAACTTTAACTCTACTCAGTTAAGTATCTTACTATTTTTGTCTTGGTTACTCCTAGTATATTTTGATTGATTTAAACATATTTAGCTACTCCCTACATGTTTTGCTTATTCTGTGCACATCTTGCTTACTCCACTCATATCTTGCTCACTGCGCTCATAGCTTGCTCCCTCCACACACGTCCTGCTTACTCCACATGTCTTGCTCACTCCACACATCTTACTTATTCCACACATGTTTTGCTTGCTCCATACATGTCTTGCTTACTCCACCACACATGTCTTGCTTACTCCACCACACATGTCTTGTTTACTCCACGACACACGTCTTGCTTACTCCACGACACACGTCTTGCTTACTCCACCACACATGTCTTGCTTACTCCACGACACATGTCTTGCTTACTCCATACATGTCTTGCTTACTCTATACATGTCTTGCTTACTCCACCACACATGTCTTGCTTACTCTATACATGTCTTGCTTACTCCACCACACGTGTCTTGCTTACTCCACCACACATGTCTTGCTTACTCCACATGTCTTGCTTACTCCACACATCTTTCTTATTCCACACATCTTGCTTACTTCATACATCTTACTTATTCTACTTATCTTACTTACTCTACACATGTCTTGCTTACTCCACATATCTTACTTACTCCAGCCATGTCTTGCTTACTGTATACTTGTCTTGATTACTCCACACATGTCTTTTTTACTCCACACATGTCTTGCTTACTGCATACATGTCTTGCTTACTCCTCACATCTTGCCTACTCCATACATTTCTTGCTTACTGCATACTTGTCTTGCTTACTCCACACATGTCTTGCTTACTCCACACATGTCTTTTTTTACTCCACACATGTCTTGCTTACTCCACACATGTCTTGCTTACTCCACACATGTCTTGCTTACTCCACACATGTCTTGCTTACTCCACACATGTCTTGCTTACTCCACACATGTCTTGCTTACTCCACACATGTCTTGCTTACTCCACACATGTCTTATTTACTCCACACATGTCTTATTTACTCCACACATGTCTTATTTACTCCACACATGTCTTGCTTACTCCACACATGTCTTGCTTACTCTATACATGTCCTGCTTACTCCACATATGTCATGCATGGTTGAACTCAGGTAAACTGCACTGAAAGGTAAATATTTGACTACTCTACCACAAATGTTCTTAAAAACTGTAAAAATTATGAACGCTTGAAAGATTTGTCAGTAATGTATTTTTTTATCGGTACATATTTCAGGTTTGTCTGAAAGCAGAAATTTCTGTCAGCTTGAATGATTCAGTCACTGATGTTTTTTATCTGTATATATTTCAGGCTGGTCGCTGGGCGAGCATCAGACATGGTCCAAGTATAGTCTCTTTGAAGTGGCTGTTCGAGTCCCTTTTATTATGTACATCCCTGGTGTAACATACACAAAAACAAACAAGGATGAAAAAGTATTTCCATATTTTAATATCCTGAAAGCTAGCAAGAGTTTTTCAGCAGTAAAAAATGTTGAGGATAACAGCAGTATTTTATTTACAAGCGAATACAGTACACCCTTGCATGGGACAACCAACACAAACCAGGGTAAAGTGACCGCACTATCCGGTAAAGAGGTGGCTCCGAACTGGCAGTTTGAACCCAGATATAAAAGTTCAGACTTTGTGGAACTTGTAGATCTATTTCCAACATTGGCCGAAGCAGCTGGCCTGCCCACACTACCTCTTTGTCCACCGAATCCGTTTAAAACCCGGTTGTGCACTGAGGGAGTCAGTCTGGTGCCATTAATTAAGAACATTACTGGGAGTGCGACAGATACAAAGACAGGTGTGAATGTTGAGGATAGGTCCACCTTACCAAAATCCGCACCAAAAGATAATTCAGCATTTCTTCTGGCTCGGAATTGCTCAGATGTGTTCATTCCGGCTACTTCTAAGGATTTTCACTGGAAGAGTGCTGTATTCAGCCAGTATCCACGTCCAGCTGCTGTACCTCAACATAATACAGAGCTACCTCATTTAGCTGATATTCGGATTATGGGGTATAGCATGTGGACACCGGAATTCCACTATACTGAGTGGGTGGGCTTCAACCCCAAAAACTATACAATATTCTGGGATGATGAATATGCTCGTGAATTGTACTTGAGATCAACGGACCCGTATGAAATTAATAATGTTGCCGTTCTGGAGAGATGCTTTCCTTTAGTGGAAATGTTGTCTGAGCAGCTTCATCAAGGCTGGAGAGGAGCACTGCCGAAATAGAACATTGGCTTCTGAACATTGCAGGCAAACATTTCTTGTATTAACTCTTTCAGTAATAAGTAGGTATTAATACATATATAAAAGGCAAGAGGGGCTTTCATAGCACTAGGGAATTTGTGGAGGTCAAAAGAAATTAAAAGAAATACTAAACTAAAAATTGTTAATTCTAATGTCAAATCAGTCCTATTGTATGGGGAGGAAACATGGGGAACAACGAAGGCAATTACTAATAAATTACAGACATTCATTAACTGGTGCCTGCGCAGAATAGAGGGAATAAAATGGTATGATAGAATAACTAATGTAGAACTTTGGGAGAGAACTAAACAGGCTCCAGTGGATCAGGAGGTGAGGAAAAGATGCTGGCGTTGGATAGGGCACACACTGAGAAAACAGGAGAACAGCATAACTAGAATGTCTTTGCATTTGGAACCCACAGGGGAATAGGAATAAAGGAAGGCCAAAAAACACATGGAGAAGAGAGCTGGAAAATGAGGTTAGAAAGATTGGGAGGACATGGGGAGAGCTCCATGTAATGGTGAAGGATAGAACGACTTGGCGTGAGTTGGTTGAGGGCCTATGCTCCATTGGGGGATAAAAAGGCAGAAGAAGAAGAAGAATACATATATATGTATATAAATTTAGTAATCTCTTATTTCTTCACTCCTTCTGAATTCATCCCGTTTTATTTTCATCCCTTTCCTCAGACATTTTGTGTTTGAATGCATTTAACTATTGTCCCATGTCTTTAGAGGTTCTCCAACTGTCACATGCATATGTTTAAAAAAAAACAGGACAGGCATAAAAGAATCTGCTGCCTGTGATTGTGGAGCAGAAAGACAGACCCCCTGAGCACATACTGCAGTACTGCCCTTACCTCTCCCAGCAGAGACTGTGGATCTGGCCCAGGGGATCCACATTGCGAGAGAAGCAATGGGGGACCGGTGGCGACCTTAAACGCACAATCCTTTTTTTTACCCAGACGGGACTCAATGTGTAGCATGACTTATGTCGAACGCAGATGAAGAAGAGATAGCTGAGATACAAAAAAAGAGTTAATATAATATATATAATATATATATATATATATATATATATATATATATATATATATATATATATATATATATATATATATATATATATATATATATATATATATATATATATATATATATATGGGAGTAAGAGTAAGGATATATATTATATATATATATATGTAGGAGTTCTAAGGATGTGTACTGGAAGCCACTGAGGGAATATCAGTTATGAGAACCTTTGTTTTATATATATCAGATTTTATGTACACAGCTTGTGTTTTTCCTGAATAAAGTAAAGTTAGCTGTGTATCCTTTACAAGACGTTGCAGAACCAACCCCAACATTTTGGGGTTGGGGGGGGGCTGTTGTGGGTTTTCTAGGCAAATTTTACATTCAGTAGTTTGCTATTGCTTTCTGAACGGTCACCTCTTGGAACCACCGTCGAAGCCAACGCAAGACAAACCATCCACTGCTGGGATCGAACCCGGAACCCCAGCATTACGAAGCTCCTACACAGCACCGACAGCCAAATACAGAAAACTTCTGTAACATTACCACAGAACAACACGAGCATCTTTGCACAATGGATTTTTTAAAATATGGCCTGCAGGTGTTATTTCATGTGTTTTTTTTTAAACACCTGTTATCTGTTTTTTTTACTGCTTGCAGTCCTGTGGTTTCTGGACCCAGCGGTTTATACTTGATGACATTTTTAGCGTAGCTATATTAACAGTAACCTGAGGGCATGCAAGGGTCCTTTACTTACTATATTAATAGTAAAAAATGGTTTATGAAATAATTTGAGTTATAAATATTATATACAAATGTGGAAGGATGTGCATACCAAAACCACAAAGCACTTTGCAATCCTTGTTACCTGACTGTAAATTTAGGTAACACAATCGTGTAGGTTAGATGAGTATTTTTTATGCGCCACAAAACAGCTGCCATAAAACAGCTAATAAGATGATGCGTAGGTTATTTTCAGTCAGTGAATGATACGTTGACCTCTTTGTACACAAGAAATTCCCACATGTGCTCTAACTCAGTAGCCTACAGGGGATTTCCCTTGCTGTTGTCTGAGTCAACTTAACTCTTTTAGTGTCAAACATGTGTTACATTAACTCTTTTTGTTCTAATATATATTTTTTTAACATTAACTTGTTTAGTACCACGTAGCATCCTTTGCGTTTATTACATGTTTTTTTTTTTTGCTCCACGTAACCTAGCCAGTTGTTGCATTTACCCATTATGGGCCAATTCTTACTTTCTTCTTCTACCTTTTATCCCCCCCCCCCCCCCAAATGGGGCATAGGCCCTCAACCATCTCATGCCGTCATTCATTCTGTCCTTCACTATTGCATGTAGTTCTCCCCATGTCCTCCTCTCTTTTGACTTTAATCTGGCTCCCTTCTTCATGTGTTTTTGGTCTTCTTTTTATTCTGTGCCCCTGTGGGTTTCAATGCAAGGACATTATAGTTATATTGTTCTCAGGTTTTCCCAGCATGTGCCCTATCCAATACCAACAACTTTTCTTCACCTTTTTGTTTCACTGTAACTTGTTTAGTTCTCTCCCAAAGCTTAGCATTAGTGATTCTGTCATACCATTTTTCATTTACTTCCCTCTATTCTGTGCAGGCACCAGTTAATGAATGTTGGTAGTTTAACAGTGATTGCTTTAGTTCTCTATGTTTCTGCTGCATAGAACAGTACTGATTTTTGAATTCTTACCTTAGGTGGGCAGACTATAAACTGAGGACCAAAATATGCCAGTTGAACAATGTTTTCAAGCCCATGAGGCTAATGTAAAATATACACTCTGGCCCTTGAGCTCACAAAATATCAGAACACAAAAACAGCAGAAAGAAAATAAATCAAAATATCAACATTTAAAAAGTGATAACCTAAACCAGAAACTGATGTCGCCTGTGATCCTGCTGATGAGACACGTGTTGTGGACAAACTCAGACATTGGGAGACAGGGTCTGTCAGTGGATTTTAACAATAAAATATAAGACAACAATTGGTCTTTTTTCTCTGAACAGACACATTTAGGAATATATAGATGTGCTTAAGTGGGTGAGTGTATGGCCAGAGGTGTAGTGAGGGATTATAATCTTAGATTATCCCATAAAAATATTTTGTTACAATGAAATCTAGGTGTTATGTTTACAATGGGTTTTTCTCTATTTGGTGCGCGACCAGGTTGGCAGTTATAAATTTGGCCAGTGGGAAAAAAAGTTTGCCCACCCCCTCCACTGCGCAGATTTCAGAGTATGCAAAAAAGACAAGAGACCAAGCATGATGATGTACGCAATGCGTCGAACCATCATCAGGGAAGGCTCAACTACGGGCCTAATGAACATCCAAGACCTAAAACAGGTGCCAATCAACCGCCAGACATGGAGAGCATGAACTCTGCCATATTCGCTGCCTTAGGCTCAAGAGAAAGGACTAACCCCTGCTTTAGTGCCTTTTATCTCAAGTGTTAAAAATTTTAAGACAATAAAACCCACACATGTATTAGTGAAAGTAACAGTTTGATAGTATAAGGCGAGATAAAGTAACATTTGTCCGGGACCAAAAGAGTTAAGTAATCAAAGTCTTGAGTTTTTCATTGACATCCACATTTTGCAGATCTGGCTTATGTGTATGCAGACTGTTGGTTTCTTGTCTCTCAGACAAGATGCATTTGACTTTGAAGGAAATCAGTGGGTCTATCCCCTCTCCCCCAGAACCCACACAAAGGAACACCGCCCACTTGACTTTAGAGATCATCACTATGACTAATCATTATCATCATTGTCTGGCTATGCCATTATATGTCGCAAAAGGATCGCAGCCATTTTCTCCAGAGATGCAAACATTTATTTCTGCACTTTATTTACTAGATCACAAACCAGTCACAGATTTAATCTGTTCATCTTTTTTCTGACTATAACCTTATACCATCATTACAGATTATCAAATTCATGTTAATTCATTCTGTTAAAACAAATTGTGCCATCAAATATGTTGGGGTGTCTTTCAACTTTTTGGTGCTTCCTTTGATATGACAAATTTAGTATTATTACTATTTTCTACAATGCTTTACTGCTTCAGGGTTGCATTTCCATTTCTGCTGGTAATTATGTAATTTATATTCTGTTTATTTGCAAATGATACTAGTTGTAACATATATTGTTTTATCTACCTTTTTTGTAAATAAATTGGCATTTGCAAACATTTATTATTATTGTGTGTGTTCATTTTCTGTGTTATAAATGCTGGGATCACTAAGATGTTCTCGGCATGGAGGTTGTGGCCATCAAATCTAGTCACTCCAATGACAAAGTCAATAAGTGTGCCGGTTAAGTTTAATCTAGTATCTTTGAGTCAGGGCTCTTGTCACTTGCGGCTTTTTCTGGCCAGTATTATCCCTAGTCCACACATGTGTCAGGTATTCTACTGGCCTGAGAGCAGTGTGATTTCTATCAGAGATATATCAGTTAAGTGATTTTTGTGTATTCTTGTTCATACTTGTCTTCTGCCTTTCTAGCCCCCAATGAAGCATGGGCCCTCGACCAACTAACGCCAAGTCACTCTATCCTTCTTTTTAACTTCACTCTCTAGCTCCCTTCTCCGTGTGTTTTTAGTCTTCCTTTATTTCTATGCCCCTGGGGGTTCAAGTGCAAAGATATTCTAGTTATATTGTTCTCAGGTTTTCTCTATGTGTGTCCTATCCAACACCAGTATCTTTCCTTCACCTCTTCACATGTTTTGTAGATTTGTCTTGCTGCGATATTGTGAAGCTGATTGGTTAAACCTTTCATTTAGTTTGATCTCTTTTCACGATTTCTCGTTAAGTGACACTACACACATAGATAATGTCGTAAGTACTCCAGTTTTCTCTCACACAGAGCTTCTGTATCATCTCAGTGCGAGGTTGCCAAGAAAGAGTGGTATACCCTGTACAGAAAA